GGCTTCATCAAGCACTACCACATTTGGTTTCTTTTCCTTCCACGATAGTTTTAGGAGTCTCCTAAGAAACCACATTTCTGTTGCTTCTATTTTATTTTCAGAAATGGGGTTTCTTAGGAGACTGTTAATGGAGAAATTAGCCAAAAAATCGACACAATAGGGTCAAATTTATAGATTTTCTATTGATGCCATATTCTTTAAGTATAAGTTGCCTTTTACTATTTCGTACTCTTAAATTGTAAAAACTTCACCTATAAGCGTGACGTATCTATTTCCGTAGGGCTCGAATCTGAGAAGTAACTCATCTTGTCAGCGCGCTTCATGTTATAGCTTGATGTTCACATTTGTCTGTCTGCGTTGAAACAAATGGAATTCATTTATTAATTTACCTATGCTCACGAAATTTTGCTTGCCGCTTCTGCAGGCCAGCAACCAAACAAAAATATTTCTCGGGGTGGTGGAATCGGGTGCTCGTCAGTTTTTGGGCATGTGGAGTTATTGTTATCATCTGAAAGCTGATTTATTTACCTTGTTTCTAATTAAACGTTTCCGTTTATCGTAAAGAGAAGAAATTAGATTCTTGTGAAATATTGAGGAAAGTCAGTAAATACAAACTTTGAAGGAAAATGCCAAAAAGTTGATTTGATAAAGTGGGAGTTAATTATTATCACACGTATCATTATTACACCTATTGTACCAAGCCTGCTATATTAGACTTTGTTAGTTTCCATGTTTCTGACTTTGGAGGGTTCTCTGGTGTGGTTTGCTCCTTCCTTCCTATCTAACATCTATCGTCCTTATCTCTCCTGCTTCTTTTTTTGTGTTTGTTACTCTCTTGTAACACCTCTAATCTTGGGCACTTATATGACCTTATTGTGTTGCAAGTGCCGTAAAACTCTTACTAAAACTAAATTAAAAAAAAATAAAAAGATCCATACAGTGCACTTTTTATATTGTTCAGGAACTGGAGGCCGAAAATGAAGGTCTGAAAGCTCAAGTAGTCAACCTGGAACAGGGTAATAACGGTAAGTGTTGTGGTGGAGTTGTTCACTTGTGTTTATAGCATCCACATAGCACTTTACGTGTAAAAGTCGAGTATTGTTTCGGTAACTGATGTGTGTATAGATGTGCATCTACCCTTGGTCTACCAGTGTGTACAAAAACGTATTTAAAAATATTTAACCCTATCCGTACGTCGGGTTTTACTATCGTATCCATACGACATGGGAAACTCTGCCACCCCTTTCCAAATAGGAAATTGACTCATTAATCCGATCCGTACGCTTTGCATAGCAATCTGTCAAAACGATTTTTTGAGAAGTACTGAAAATTTCATAGAGATCTTTGCACTAGAAGTATTGTTAAATGTGAAGAATACAACTCCCGGGGAGGCTCTCTGACCCTTGTCCTGTGACCTATGCCAACCCCTGACCTCTACCGACTAGCGATTTACGCATCATAATTATATTCTTTTCTTGCACCAAACAGAGGCAGCTCAGGCGGAGATAGTGGAGATGTTGACCCAGCAAGGTCTGGCGGAGATTTCTGACGCCACTCAGAGCGAGCAGATAGCTTACCTCCTGGTGGAGAGGGCAAGGCTCCTGGACGAGCTGGAGGAGCACAACAACAGCAACAGCAACAACAACAGCAACAACAACAGCAACAGCAATAACCCCAGTCCCAACGTGGATGGTAGGTCCTCTGAGATGGAACTGAAGCAAATTCTGGAACAGGTAAGCGGTAGTAGTAGTAGTAGTAGTGTATGATAATGTAAATTTTAGCAATGTTATTATTTAGTTGATCGCCAGTGGTGAAGTTGTGTATCAAGGTCACCCGGTGCGTTGCACATCTGCAGTCAAGTCAATGACTGGGGATCTCCCTGACTGAAAAAAAAACTGGACAATAGATTGGAACGTCTAAACAGACTACAAAGCTCGATAAAACGGACAGTTCTTGCATACGATGAATCTGACACAATTTTATTTCTCGTTACGTGTAACTGGGCCTTTAGCGTTACCCCAAAAACTCATACTATAGCTAAAGCTAATCACACTAAAACTCGTACTATAGCTAAAACTAATCTCAATGTAACATGATGAGATCGTTCTTGTTGTGGTTGGCAGGAGTGCAGAGACTTTGAGAAGGAGTTGAACCTGTTTTTAGTTTTAGTAAGTGTTTTAAGGCAATTGCAGGCGAATCAGCAGCGAGAGAATGGAATATAATGCAGTAACTAGTAAAGACTGTCTTCGCGTTACCAAGAAAACTCGTACTATAGCTAAAACTAATCTCAATGTGCTATGAATAGAATGTTCTTGATGTGGTTGGCAGGAGCGCGGAGACTTCGAGGAGGAGTTGAGCCAACAGCGAGAGAGTGCCATTATGATGAAGGAGCAGCTCAAACAGGAGCACGAGGAGGAGATAAACGCGCTGATGGAGGAGAACAGTAAGCTGGAGGAGGACCTTCAGAAGGCAGAGATGATGGTGAGTGAGTGTGTGTGTGTGTGTGTGTGTGTGTGTGTGTGTGTGTGTGTGTGTGTG